CATTTTAATGATGTTGTAACCCGCGATGAACTCATCTTTCCTCTGAGTTTTCAGCTTATCGTACAATTTTCTCATTTCTGCCCTCTTGCTTATTATATCGTCTAGTTCCCGAGCACGCTCTATGTACACGCCTTTTTTCCGGCAATATTCCTAAGAGAAAGAAAATGTTTTCAGTTAAGGACTACAATTTACTGTCTATATCCGCAGTCCACAAGATCTTGTAACTTTGATAAAACTTGTTTTTTTTTTCTGGTATGTGAACATCAAATTCATAAATCTGTTACTGAGATTCTGGGATGATAGAAATGTCAACAGGGAATTAGACATTTTTTTCGCGTCACATATCTCACCAAAGAAGGTACTGGTCTGTTATTTAAAAATATGCCTGGAAAGTTAAAACGCAAAAAATACTGCTAGATAGAAAGAGGATCTTTCTTGACGTAAAATGTACCTCAATTGCTCTGAGATTTGGTTTGGCAACTTTCAGGTGGTTCTCTGCATTTTCCAGTTCCTTCTGTACATTTTCTACATTCTCATTTTCAATCTCTTCATCTGTATATTTTTTCAATTCCTCCCGAGGTTCGTCTGGAATTTCTTGTAACCTCAATTTTGACACCTAGAAACATACATTAAAAAATATGTTTCGAGTAAAACATGGTTTATTTAGTTTATACAACGTAAACAGGGTGTCCTCAAAGTTTAGGGTATAGGTCAGGCAATAATCAAGTTTTTCTAGTAACAAATATATTTGAAACACCCGAGACATTAAGGTACGAAAAATTCCAAATAAGCCATTCCAATCCTACCCCCTCTCATGTATGATGTTAAGTCGTACTAGTGGTAGTAATTACAAACAAAACATGTGACAAGGCAGTACTTGAAATGGATATGTATTTAAAGTTCTACAAAGCTACTCAATTGACAAGTAAAAAAAAATGTAACTACATTATCAAGCTCAAAAAATATTTTATACATTAATGACATTCGTTATATTTTTGAATGTAAAATTTACATATTTGCAGATGACTATTAACACCTTAGCTGCCGCTGGCTCTTATAAGAGTCAACGCGAGATGTTCGCCGGTGCCGCTGACTCTTATTAGAGCCAAGGTACAATACTGCAGGCACTCAAGGGCACAAATTAGTAAAACGTGATTTAAATGGTAAAAAACAGGTATCCAGAAAAAGATGCCAGTCCTGTAGCAAGAAGTTAATCCGTACCCAAACTATGTACGACTGTAGAACATGCCCCGATATTCCAGGATTCTGCTTGGAGTGTAGTCATATTATTCACAATTTCTTCCATTCACCACAAATTCATGAATGTATTTTAAAAAAAGTTGTTTCATTTCTTATTTTTGATTAGATTTTATCACATTATGTGTATTATTTACCGGAGAAGTTTTTGTTATACTTTTATATGTTCTATACTATTTTGAATTACAAAAATTATTTTTATTATTTTATTTTTATCAACGGTCGATAATAAATGTTTTATTTGCTTTTAGTTTATTTCTATTTATAAAAAACAAATAATTATCTTCCGACTCTTCTAAGCGCCAGCTGGCATACAGGAAACCGGTTTGTAAGTCAGTGCCGTCGGCTCTTAGAAGAGTCACAAAAAATCTTCTAAATAAAAAAACATTTTACGAAAATATCTCAATAACTGATTTTACGAAGTTATACTACTAAAATAACAAATTAACCATTATACAAGTAATTGGCTCCTGTTTAAAACCAACCGAAAAAAGGTGACAGTCCACGTGATAATAAATTTTATAATTAATATACATATCAGATGAAAATATATAAATATGCTAAATTCTGACTTGGCAAAAGCCATAAATTGGTTAAATGTAAACAACTATAATTGAATGCGTCTAAAATAAAATTTGTGCTAATAGGGGAATACTTAAATGAAAATACTATCACAGTTAGGATAAATGGTGAAGTAATTGAAAAAGTTGAATCAAATATTTGGGTATGCACATTGATAGCAAACTAAAGTTTGAGGATAACAAAACATTTCCGAAAAAAAAAGTCCTTGTACATATTCCAAAAAATAGTTTATAATACAATTATTTTATCGCATTTACTACATTGTTCTGTGTTCTCGAAATTACAGGTCCTCCAAAATAAATCTATGAGAATAATATTGAATAAAAATAAGTACAGCAAAATAACTTACTTGGTTTTTATTTTTATATTTCAAATAAAAAATCATACTTTGTCACAACATTAGAAACATCACAGAATGGAATAATCGCCACAATTATTATGCAAGAGGAAATATAGATTTCCATTTACGCAACTGCAATAGTAATATAACTAGCAAATCAATATTTCAGTAAGGATTACTTGGATTTAATAAACTAAATAATGATCTAAAGTCGATTTGTAATTTCAATATGTTTAAAAGAAAATTAAAGGGATATTTCATGGACAGTGAAAATTCTTAGAGATGCAAGTTTTCTTTTCTGAATATTTGTATGTTATGTAATTGTGGTTTTTAAGATAATCTAATTGCAGCTATCATGCTGAATAAATCTTGAACAACGAAATAAAGACTATTTTTTCTCAATTTCTTTTTCAAGTTTTCGGTGCTGTTGCAATTTTATTTCAATTGTATGTTCTCAAAAGGAAAGTCCCAACTTTTAGGACACCCTTTACATATAAACATTCAATTCACGTTCATTCAAACACCTTCTAGCATTCAACTATACTAGGCAACCTCAAATACAATGCCTACCTTCACTTCAAACTGATGTATGTTCCCTTTACATTCACTGATCTGTTTGTTTAGAACCTGAACTTTTTGATCAACATCAACTTTTTCCGATTTTATTTTAGTCTCCTGCTTCGTCAAATCCGCCACAACTTTTTTCAAATCTACAAAATACGATTGATTATCGTTTCGTCAACTACATCACATTAGAGCATCATACCAGAGTAAACATTCTCAACAGCAGTGATTTGTTCGGCAATTTCTTCAACACACTTCAAAAGTTTGGCCGCGTCTGATTCCACCTCAGCTCTTTCATCCCTCATTGCTCTCAAACGGTTCTCCATATCTTCGATGTCTTGCTCCATGTTTTTTATTTTTTCAGTGGTTTTCTTCACATCCCTAATAAAAGTGCGTTTATTAATATATTATATATTTATAAAGACCCTTAAGGCACTGGCGCACGGGGGGGGGGTAAAGGGGGTATACCTACCCCCAGACAACTCGAGCAATCTTTGAAAAGGTGTTATAAGGTAAACCTCTTATAAAAAAATCTGTAACTTCAAGAAAGGATAGCGGCAACACTGCCAACCCACTCAGTGCGCATGCGATTAGCGACTACTCTCCCACCAACAGGGCTTCTTCCTGTTGGAACAGGTATAGTCTAGTCTTTTATGGTCTAGTCTAGTGTCTAAATTCTGTACCAGTCTGGAGTCCGCAACAAAATTTGGCTGAGAAGTGAACAAGCAGAGTTTTGTTGATATGGTTGGTATTTTCTATGTTCTATTGATTTTTTATTTTCCACGCATGTCAGAAAATTAATTTTTGTTTGTTTTTAAGTTTTATACTATAAAAGAAACGTGTCTAAAAAATGACAGATGGAAAAATGGAAATTAATATAATTTCAATTACGAATTACTTAAGAAATATTGTTCTTTGTTATGAGATACTTGAATGCGTGGAAACCAATAATGTCGTTTACTTGACAATATTTGTGTAACTTTTAGTGCTGGTTGACGGCTGCTGTTGTCAGAATGAGTCAAAAGGAAACAGAATAGCATCGATTGGTTCCTTTCTAAACAAAACAAAAACTGAAGATAATCCTGCAATTCAACCTGAGCCTTCCATTTCAAAATTTCTTGATGTTGCACCGTATGCTGAACCAAGTGTTGAACAATCGGGTAGGAAACCTAAAGGATCCAATTTTGTTGATGTTGCGCCATATGTAAATTTCAGCGGCAACTTGTCTTCAAATGAAAAATATACCTTATTGAGGTGTGCAGTGAACCCTAATGACTCTTTCAAATATCCCTATTCTACACACTTGAAAAATAATAAGGAAGTGAAATGTTACTTATAAAAAAAAAACACTTTGAGAAATTGCCTGGGCTGTCATATTCAGAGGAACTACAAGGGCTTTTCTGTAAATATTGCGTGGTTTTTGCAAAATTAGGAGTACATAAATCAACTAAATTGGGAAAACTTGTTACCGTACCAATAAAGAAATTTTCGAAACTGTATGACAAAACCGGTAATTGTGAGACACACGAGAACTCAATATATCATATACATAAGTAGTTTCAGATGCTACAAACTTTTCAAAGATTTACGAAAATCCAGAGAATGATATAAGAAATATAATAGGTTCGGAGCGAATTAAACTAGTATCAGAAAATCGGCAAAGATTGACTCCTATAATAGAATCTATATTTTTTTAGGACGCCAAAATATACCAGTTGAAGGCATAGAGATGGGGGACGACTTTTTTCTAATGACAGCATGAATCACGACGATGTCCTTAATAATGAAGGGAATTTTTGAAAAAATACGGTTTAGAGTCGACAGCGGCGACAATTTATTGAAAAAAACTTAGAGAACTCAAAAGCACATGCTACGTACATAAGCAGCCGTATCCAAAATGAAATTATAGAATGTTGTGGCGAAAAAATCTTGGATATAGTTTTAAGTCGCGTTAGGCAAAGTCAGTATTACAGTATTATATTTGACGAAACTACAGACATTAGTCATAAATCACAAATGTCAATCGTATTACAGTAATGTTATGAAAAAAATTTACGAGGACATCATGGGATTTGTGGATTGCTACTCAAATTTTGATGAAGAAACAATGGAGCCCAAACTCACAGGTCAAATTCTTGCTCAAACAGTCAAGCATTTCACTAAAACCAAGACTCAAAACTATATGTGGGCATTGGTACTGATACGTGTAACCTAATGTTAGGTGAACCAAATGGCGCTGTAATGGAATTGCAAAAATGTTTGCGAAATGCTCTAAAACGCCCATGCGCAAATCATGCCTTGAATCTTTCGATTTCACAAAGCAGCAGTGTCCAAGCAGTAAGAAATACTGTAGGTATAATGAAGGAAGTAATTGCGTTCTTCAAACCATCCGCTAAAAGAAATACAGTATTAAAAAAGAAAACTAGACGGATATCAAATTCATAGTATGTGCGAAACACGATGGACCGAGAGACATGATTCTGTACTCCAATTTGAAAGCAAATTCGAGAAAATTGTAGAGGTACTAAATAAATATTATATCAAATTGGAAAGTACGCAAAGCTTCTTCAAAAGCGGAGTTTTTGAAGACTGCCATTACTTCCACCCAATTTATCGTATCACTAAAGTGTGTGATATATTAGCTTTAACAGTCAAGCTGAGTAAGATTTTACAATAAAAAAAATTGACAAACAATACGCTGTCAAACTCATAGGAAATATTATTTCAGTGGTACAAGAAAAACGCGCAAATTCCGAAAAACACTTTAGAATACTATTCGCATCTATAATTATGAATAATAGTATTGAACTGACTGTGCCAAGAATAATAAGCAGGCAAATGAACAGACCGAAAATAGTTACGTCTGACAAGCAAAATCATTACAGACTGAACCTATACGTCCCTTTGCTAGATAATATATTACAGCATTTGGTATATCGCTTCAATGAAGAATCTTTGAATATATACAATTTTAGTATTTTCTTTGCGTCAGTATTTAATTCAAAAACTGAAGCTGAAGCAATGGACATTAGAAACAATCTCTAAATATTGGCATGAACTAAATAGTAACGAAAACAAAGATTTAATAAGTACCAGATTAAAAGCAGAATTTGACCTTTGGAAGTCACGGGCACAAGATATTATAGACAGTGGAATGTCACTGTATTTATCATGTGATGACAACATTTTTCCTTCATTTAATAGATATGTAGTATTATTTATTGGCCAGCAGATTGATATAAAAGTCTGTTAGAATTCTGTTCAAATAACTTTCTAAGCTAATGTAATGATTGCTTTATTTTGAGACTGTGAACTGATGTAGTTTCATAGTTTATATGTTTTTGTTTTTTGAGACTGGCTAAGAGAATGTAGTTATGCAATGAATATTCTTTGTGTTTTTCTCATTTTATTTTTACATTCAGTTTTATACTTTGTACAAGTCGTAACATATTTGTTATTGTTATTTTTTTTATGAAGATGTATTTTTTGTTGTTTTGTCTGACATTGTTATGTAGAAAAGTCTGTGATAGATTATATTATTTTGTATTTTTGTTTTAATATATGAAGATTGCTCGAGCTTGGTTTGCTTTATTTACACTTTGATTTCGTACGATTCAAAGTTAAAAAAAAACTATGTATTTTCTATAGAAATTACTGTAACAAATTCGTATGTCTGCATTTGTCCATGCTTTTAATGTTAAATCATTATAACACTTCAGTACGTCACACTGAGAATTTACTTTCCATTTTACCCCTCCCAGATTGAAATCCTGGGAGCGCCACTGCCTTGAGGGCTGAGTGCCGTTTGAGGGTTGATCTGCCCTTGGAACAATAACGTTTTCTTGAGGGACGATCAAGGGAGGATTTAAGAATTGCATTTCATAGTAGGCTGTATTAGATGTCATCACAGGCTGCCATCGATGCCAGAAATATTTTTCTTTGCTGACTGGATCTATTTAGCATTTTGATGATAACTTTGGGATGGACTGTATTTGTATTTATACTAACTACTATAACTACTACTAACTAATTATTTATTAAATTTTGATGAAAACTTGTAAACATCTTTGTTAGCATGGAAGTATACGCTGATAAAATGTCGAAGGCATTCCGATCCGTACTTTTTTGAAATACACCCAGAAGTCATCAACCACCTAATCCAATCAATGCCGCGGCGACTTAAAGAATGTGTAGCGAACAGAGGAACTTCAACACATTATTAACATTGAAGCGGGATATTTGCGAAATTTCGAGTTAAAATTTTAATCATTTTCTATTTATCAGTAGACCTAAAACTTGTAAAAGAATGCTCAAAATTACAGCACTCCTATTTGCTGTATGCATTTTCTATGTCATTTAGCAAGCTTTATCGAATTTATATCGGAATCGGAACTAGTAAAACGTTCATACAGATAACCAGCATTACACTGAACTCTGCTTTCTGTAGACGTCAGCTGAGGTATTACGTAAAAAATCGATATAGCAAACAAATCGGTATAATGTGAACATGTGGAAAAATATCCAATGGAAATGCAAGCAAAAACTAAAAGAATTGTGGGACAACATAAAGTAAAGATAGGTATAGTTGTAGTCACCGTTTTTGGCGGGTCAAAGTAAGACTACCAGTATCCCTTTATCCGCAAAGTTGGGGTTTTCCTTTACACGAGAAATAGATCTTGAGAAAATAAGCGGATTTTCTTAGTAGCATACACACCGATGTCTTAAGAGAACCGAGATATTAGGCTCGGCAATCTCAATCAAACCTGAACCAAACCTCAGCCGGTCCTATCCCTCGATGACGTCCACAGCGCCAGCGCCAGCGTACAGTAATACGACGTACGACTATGATGTAAATACGCTAGTATGTAACCTAACCGACACGTCGGTAGTGTAGGTCAACAAACCATTACGTTGGTAACCGATTGCTGTTCAAAAAATAAAAAAAAAAACGGCACACTCATACACCAATACAGAACTAGTCGACGTGCTGTTAATTTACGGTGAGTGTCTTCAAAATACGACCAAGGCTTCGCGAGTATATACAGATCGTTTTCCCAGACGTCATCATCCAATGCTCCGTAGATTTGTTTACCTTGCGCAGAGACTCAGCGATACGGGTCGTTTGGAGGAATGTCGAGGTGGGAGACCTAGACAACCCTGAATGGTGCAAACTAAGGAAGAAGTACTGAATCTCCTAGACGAGAATCCTTCAACAAGCACTACGGATGCGGCTAGACAAGTGCAAGTGTCGAAGACTAAAGTGTGGCAAACGCTGCATGATGAGGGATTGCACACGTGCAACGTGTACAAGCCCTCTAAGCTGAGGATTTTCCTGCAAGAATGCGGTTTTGTGAATGGTTGTTGTACCAACATTACAATAATCCGGACTTTTTGAAGTGCATATTAGTCACACACGAATCCACGTTCACGCGTAACGGGGTGAAAAACCCTGTCCGTCGGTCACAAAGAGTTCGGACTAGGTTAGAAGAAGCTAAGCCAATATGATCGTAAACGATTGTTTGTTAGCAACATCAACAAATTACTGTTTACACAAAATGTGACCTTGAACGAAAATTGTATACTTTTCCCAGGGTAGACATCAGCTTTTATCGCGCTTAAACTGCTTTTTACATAACATGTAACACTTCACCATTTTCGAGAATAGTCCAAAATGACATATATTGCACTGAAATGTTTCAAAATCCTCAAAACTCTGAGAAAATATCACTAAAACACACGTAAAGATGACAACATGAGCAAAATAAAGCTTTCCCTCAATTGCACAAAGCCGCAGCATAAAACACCAGAAATCAGTCCAGCTGTTGTCAATTTGCCGCCACAGCGTTGCCGCGTTTAGTACGCAAATATTAGTTTTTCAGGAAATACCACCGGGATATAATAATTCATATTTCTTAATTGTCTTCTTCAAAGTGATTGAGCATCTATCAGTTTTTTTAATTTCAACGATTCCTCTAAATTTGTCCAGTATCTCCGTCAGTCTTTGCTTTGACAAGTTTCTTTTTAGTTTCAGTGTTACACATTACGAAATGATTATGAAAGATTTGAATTTTTTTAAAACCAAGCTACCAAGTAGTGCACCTAATAATGTCATACCAAGGCTGTACGCTTAAATTCAAGAAAGCAACTACATAACTATTTTGCATTGTTTAGCAATATTTAGCACAAAAATAAACTATTTCGCCCCAAATTTATCAACAAAGTGCTAAATACATACAGCAAGGAAAGAAAAATCTTTCTGACATCGATGACAGCCAGTGATGACAGCTGTAACAGCCTACCGTGAAATGCAAATGTTAAGTCCTCCCTTGATCGTCCCTCAGCGAAGCGTCATTGTTGCATTATTTCCAAAGGTAGATAAACCTACAATCATCACACAGGCCGCAAGGGACATCTATAAAATGGACTCTAAACCATTAGAAGATACCCACAGTCCAATTAAAAGCCATCGCCTACGCGAAACCAGTATGATGCTATAAAAAAAGTCACACAAACCTCCCTGCAGTAGCTGCAGCGACCTTCAGCCTAGTTATCTCGTTTCTGCACTTGTCAATGCCTTGACTGGTCTCCTTGATCTGGCTATTTAGTTTCTTCATCTTACCCAGTGTCTTATCATTAATTTCCTTGGATATCTTATCAACTTCAGTCTGCAAGGCGTTTGCAGCTTCAGAAGCTTCCTCAAACAATTTTCTTTCTCCTCTATCACTTTAGTCATTTTCCTGACTTGTGCTGGGTTTGCTTTAGAACTATTTGCTTTGTCTTCCAGTTCTTTTAGTTGACGTTTCAGTTGTGGCTGCTGCTGTTGTAATTGCTAAAAAAATGTTCAAAATAGAAAAAAACTGTACTATGTATACAATATTTGTTGAAATAAAGAATAGGTTCCGAATAAAATTTGGAATGTTACCTGCAATTCCATAGTGAACTTTTCATAGTCAATTTTCATTTGTCTCAACTCTGGTTGTAGAGCATTGACCTGATTTTCGAGAGAATTATGTTTCTGCCTTAATTCACGAACGCTGTCTTCCATTTCTTGCAGACTTTCTTCTAATTGTTCCAACTCTCTCGGATCCACGTTGGATACTTTGACCGATTGGCCCATCCTTCCTTTGCTGACAGTTTTTCCACCACCACTCATAGTACCTGGAAAACAGCAAAAAATGTATTCCCATTCCCAACCAACGAGAATCTCTAAGAGACCATTCTTACCAAAACAACTGACAACCTCAACGCGACTGGACACATGTATTCAAATACAAGCGTTCACGCAAAAAAAAAGGATAACGCGGCCAGTTGCTCGACAGTCGTTAGCACTGACGGTTTGCAGTTGCCGGTCAGTTGACGAAAGATGTCATCTGTTGGTTCATTGTAATAGCTAAAGTTAGGTCAAATCTTCAAAAATTAATTGATAATCGAATAAAAGTACTCATGTAGTGTGTTTTTGAATCGTTTCAGGTGGTTCTGTTAGTGTAGTAGCGTTGAAAACTAACATTCCAGGAGCGCTACTGGGGTACCAGGGGGTAGGCTTATCCACAGGGTGGGGGTGGCATATCTCTGAACGCTACTCTCACGACTACGCGGTGTACCCTAGGCAACGTAGCTTGGTAACCACTCCGACGGCTAACGAGAATAGAGTAGCAGGGTTAAGTCCAAAACCGACATAATGTCACTTTTCAAGTTATGTACTAGACAAAACGACCTATGACTTTTTATTCTGAAGAAAGCTCCTGGCACTGCTCGTATAGCTCACCTAAGCTAAAGTGTATGGAAACGTGCGTAGGGGTGAATGGAGGTAAGGTCTCTTCTATGGCCTCGAACGTTCCTCTGCTCCTCTGCTTGGCTAAAGGCTCTGGTCGGGTCGGCCGTCTTTCCTCGGTACTCGTGGGAACAAGCATCGGATCAAAGAAAAACAAAAAAGACAATCCAAGGCTGAGGTCAAAACAACAAGGCCAGGATGAGCATCAGGCCACGGTTTCGTCTGCTCGCCCAGATATGCTACCGGAGGCTAAAGCTGAAGAAACAGAGAAGCCAAAGGGTTCCTTCAAAGTCAAGTCGCTGGTGGATGTCCAATTGATGACCGACGACGAAATTCGTTTCGCGAGAGTGTCAGGATTCTCTAAACAGAGCATCAATGAAATGGTGAAGAAAAGTTTAGATTAGGTAGAGGACAAACGAGCCGTAATCAGGGACAACTTCACCAGAACGCAACAGAAATATAAAGCTCTGGAAGGTCAGAAAGCCTGGGAGCCCTTGACCAAAGGACAAAATGCCCAAAAAAGGTCAAGAAAGGAAGGCGAAACACCACCTAGCGCAAGGCGAGGTCAGCGCGGATTGGCTGCGGGAGGTTGTACCGCAGCTAGGGCTTTTCGAAGGCTAAAGAATAAGAGTTTTGGACGCGCATGACCTCCAGAAGCTCTGCGTTGGCTCTGTCTACGTACTACTCAAAAATGACAAAATAACGCGAACAGCATCATCACCCGACTGAGGAACAAGGGGCTCCACACAAGCCTTTGGACGGTGCTCGACAAGGTGGCGTCTAAGAACGGCCAGCTGTGGACCTTCTCAATGGACTAAGTCCGCCGAGGAGATCCGCAAGCTGGACAAGCGTCCTACCTGTTCATCGGCAGGGTGAAATTCCAGCTGAAGGCGCAGGGACAACCGCCCAAAGATAACAAGGCGCACTGCAGTCGCCCAGAGCCAGTTATCGTGGGGGTTCAAGCGCGGAGTCAGATACTGACCGACAAAACTCAAGAAGCCATCACTGGAGGAGCGGACTGGCATCATGAAGGTGGAGCTGGGAAGGCCAACGCGCGACCCATCCACATAACAGAAAATTGGGAACCGGGGTTCCTGCAAGTGAATCTCCATCATGCAAAGGCCACTTCGGCCATTTTTTTGTAGGAGATTCGAAAAAGAAGGCATATATGTTGCCGTCTTGCAGGAGCCTCGGTTATTCAATACAAGGCCGTAGGCCCCTCAGGGGGTAAAGAATCATACTGTACAGAAGACTAAAAACCAAGAGCATGCTGCTCTGTACCGGCGACTGCCCTCACTACATCAATGAGGGGGAAGAGGACATGGATTGTGGATGAAGGTTGTCGTGGCCTGTTGCGAGGATAGACATATCCAGCTTATGGGATGCGATGCGAATGCGTACCACGCCAGCTGGGGAAGTAGCAACATCAATGGAAGATGTGAATCACTCTTGCAATTCATTAGTAGTGAAAGGTTGTTAGTATCCGCCTACCATGAGAATTGTCACGAAAACAACGGTCCTTAACAGGTCCGTTGGTGGACAAAGCACCTTGAAAGCCGTACGGCAGAGGTGTGAAGACTTTTTAACAAGGCAGAGAACAATCATGACTGAGATAAGTACAGGGATGAACTAACAAAGTACAACCTAGAAGTCCGAAAGGCCAAAAGAAACTCACGAAGTTTAGAAAGTATATGTATATGTGGGTCACAACAGATTCACTTGTCTCGCAGTGACGATAAGGCTGGCACAATCCCTTTCTTCTGTAGTCGGTAATGATGGAATGTAATAGAGAGACCAAAAGTACATAAATCTGGAGAGAACGCAAAAGCAACGCAACCAAAGTCGAAACCGGAATGATGTCAGGTTGCTTTTGGTGAGAATAGTGCCTTAATCGTCCAAAATAGTTTAGCTTTTCTTCATTTTTACTTACCAGATGTCTCAATCAAACCGCCACCCAGAGTAACCACACGATACCGCTGGGCCCCATACGCGATTCTTGTGGCTTGTTCGATATCGTCAGCTACAAGAGTGTTTCCTAATGCATAATAAAACGCTGTGCGAATAGTTTCGTCGTTCACTCTCACCAGGTCGAACAGTCTATGCACATTTTCAGGACTGAAATTGCAGATCATTAATAGCATGAGCAGAGCGCCTCATAATGGTTAAAATTAATCAACATGTTCCACCAGAGTGTGCCGAGCCCTATAAAAAGCCGCGCCTGCAAATTTATACTGAGAACCAAATGTATCTCAGGCTTGAGTTCAATGTGTATGAGAGAGAAGTGTGCATGGACACATACAAGGTCTGCCGCAAAGTAAACAGGACTTTTGAAAGATATCCTATACAAGTAGCGCCATTTATTATTGGAGACTAGCGTTGGATAAGTACATCTTGCATTGATGCCCTGTTAAAATTTCATCGAGTTATCGCGCTCAAAGTGGCAGTACCTTTTTAGTATCGATCGAAAAATGAGCATCGAACAAGTAGCCAATATCAAGTTCGGTGTTAAACCTGGTAAAACATTTACCGAAAGTCATCAGATGTTGGTTTAAGTGTATGGTGATGATTGTTTATCTCGTAGCCGAGTCCACGAATGGTTTACACGGTTCAACAAGGGTCGTGAGTCGTTGGAAGACGACGAACATGCTGGCCAGCCAAAATTTGTGATTACGTCGGAAACCGTCGAAAAAGTGCGTGAATTTATAAAAAACGTGCATTGGCAACCGTAGAAGTGGAATTAAATATCTCTAAGATTCAATCCATCGCATTTTGACTAAGGATTTGGGCATGAGAAAGGTATTCACGGTTTGTTCCGCACAACCACACGGGTGACCAAAAATTGCTTGGAATTCAACATTCGGGGGTGGGGGGAGGGGGGCATCATTAAAGAGGCAAAAAAGACAAAAAGTACAACATTGTGACTGGTGACGAAACGTGATGTTTTCAATACAATCCCGAAAACAAGCGTCAAAGTGCCGAATGGAAGCACCCGAGCTACAGAAATTCGAAAAAAGCCGTTTGGAAAAGTCCAAAGTGAAGACAATGTTGATTTGTTTCTACGATTCGAAGGGAATTATTCACAAAGAATTCATTCCACCTGGCGAAACGGTGAATGCTGTGTTTTATCTTGATATTATGAGGCATTTTCTGTCGCGAATTCGTCGTGTTCGGTCCGAATATTACGAGTAAGGAGGCTGGCGCTTGTTGCACGATAATGCATCATCTCATCGATCGACGCTTGTGTCCGATTTTCTGATAAAAAAATGTCATCAACCACTCCCCATATTATCCTGATATGGCACCATGTGGCTGTTTTCTGTTCGGTAAACTACATTTGGTCATGAAGAGGTCGCGGTATGCCAACGAAAAGGTCATCCAAAAGAAGTCGGCGACCAGTTTGAAGGACATCCCGGTCAATGAGCTAAAATCATCATTGGGAAACCTTTTCGTCCGTGCAAGTCGCTGTTTCAACTCTGAAGGAGACAATTTTGAATAAAAGAAATCCATTCTCCGAAACAATAAATGTTTGTTCATTTTTCTTTGTGCTGTTTAGTTTGCGACAGACCTTGTACGAGTATGCTAGGCAGAGACAGAAGCCGGCTGGATGCGAAGCTCATCACCGTTTTGCCTAGCAACGCGTTTCCGATATGATATTCCAGTTCCTTGTATTAAGATGCATGCTAATACGCGTTGGTTTATTCTCTACGCCCAAATACTCGTAATGGTTTTATTTTGAGCGTACACATTTTTGAATTATGAAGTGTGTCGAATCTGTTTCGGATTGATTCCCGATCGGTCCTAACGGCGCTCCAATTTGAGCCAGGATCGCCACAAATTCTGCAACATTGCATCATTGGTTCGTTTGATAACACCGCATCTTGTACATTCCAAGTCAAGGTTTCAACCTCCATGATCATAGTTGAGCGATTTTGGCTCACTTTTATCTTAATAGTCCAGCAGAATTGCCGTTATTGGACTAATGAAAATCCGCGACAGTTACATGAAAGACCGCTGCACATCTCAAAAGTGACGGTTTGGTCCGCTGTATCGCAAACTTGCATCATCTAGTCTTACTTCTTCGAAGACGGTAATGGCAATGCTGTTACCGTGAACTCGGAGCGCTATGTCGAAATGATCACCACCTTCTTTTCACCTGAACTACGACGACGACGTGTCGCATTCTGACGTGTGTGGTTCCAACAGGATGAGGCGACAGTCCACACAGCCAAAGCAACGATGAACGTTATCCGTCCTCTCTTGTGTGATCGCCTTATTTCCAAGTTTGGTGATGTTCATTGGCCTCCTCGGTCCCGAGATTTATTTATCTGCGATTTTTTCCTACGGAGATACCTCAAGGCTCGTGTATACGAACACAAGCCACGAACTCTGGACGAGTTGAAGGAGGCAATTCGCGTGGTAGTCGCCCAAGTTGAGAAAACGATGTTGTTGAGAGTCTACGCGAACTTTCAAGAACGCCTCCAGCAATGCATTGTCAAATACGGTCACCACATGTGATTTTCCACACCTATTGTGACAAACGCTATATCATTGTGAACTCGAATCCGTCAATACATTATTTTTTTGAGTAAAAATTATCGATTTTTTGATTTTTCAAAAAGCGTCCGACCTTTGTGTCGGACGCTGTAGTTGAGCGTTTTTGATCTTTACATATCAATCGCTCATTGGGAAGCGCCGTCCTGTTTCGAAATGTTTTCACGTACGTTCACACATGCAGTAATAATTTGAATTGCGTAATGGTATTTTCATTTTCCGACTGCTCACTGTCGCAAAATGTAACAATAACTCTGGATTCTAAAGCAAATCAAAACATCAAGTCGCATCAAAATTCTAATCAAAATGAATACTCCTGCTTCTTGGGTTTGACAGTAACCTAATCTATTGTAGAAGCCTGTGAGTACATTCTCAGGTGTAACATATTGGCAACGCAGCATATTGCACGCCTTTCTGCGTCACTGTTGCAAGGCAATGTGGAGATGACCTTCGTAATTGATGTGTTGATACACACCTCTCTGTATATCATAGGATTTCTTTTTCCGTCGTTGAAAAGTGCTGAGAATCCGAAATTTAGAAACAATTAGGGGGGAGGTTGAGTAGCTAAGATAGATCAGTTTAAGAATAAACGAGTTTCTTCACTTTTAACACGACTGTGAAGATGGAAATTTTAATTAAACATCCAAATACCGCATATGCTTGGATATCCTGGAGAATGTCTTAAGCAATAATCTAGACAGAAAATACACCATTCTTGAAAAATGTATTGAACTGCAAACTTTTCTACGAACTTACGTTTTTATTTTTGTATTCGCAGTTGCTCTCAGATGTTCCTGTTTTTCTAACACGATGATTGTAACTCGTCCGATATCGTGTTTCTTCAAGTAATCTATACACCAATGTGCTGTATCCACTGTATCAACCACGATATTGTCCAATGGTCCACAGGCTGTAGAAATTGCAACGTCATACTTTTGATCAATCGCTCCCAAGTCTCCCTGAAAATAATGGATGATTTCCAATATGCATCTAAGGTAAGATTAGAGCAACAGTCGGAGATAAAATTACCCGCAAATCATCGGGCACATAACCACAAATAACCCGCTTAGAAGCAATTGAATTACTGCCCTGTCGAATCTGATAGAAAACCAATCTTTTGGTGAAAAAACGTATACCAATGGAATTACTTACCAAACGACCATACAATCCAGGACATTTCCCTTCCCTCTTTTGTTGCATCAAAGCATCCAAAACTCGTCCCTGTGATCTACTTGCTTGCATAGAACTTCGACGTTCTTCCAAGAAGGATCTCTTTTTCCTAATCTCATCAAGAAGTTTTGCCTCCTGCATTTTAACAGTGTTGAACTCTGCCGTAGCATCTTTAAGCGACTTTTCAGTTGCTGGAATTTTCTTCTTCAACGTATTTACTTGTCTGGTGCGTTCTTCAATGGTAGAGGCAGCGTTTTCATATACAGTTTTCACGTCTTCGTATTCGGTTCTAGCTCCATCTTCGTTGCTTGTGTATATTTTCAGTTCCGACTCTGCTAATGCGAGCTGCAATTAGTATTTTTTGCTAGACATTTGCATGGTCCAAGGTGTTTGCTTCTGCCATCTCATTGAAATAGTTAAAGTAAGTTTAGTGAGTTTAGAGTTAGGAAAGTATAAGATACCAGACAAAAATTGTCTATACCATGATTTGACCAAGGTAATTGTCCAGGTTAGTTTCCAAATTACCAGGAAAAATTGAGGCCCCTAAATGTCTTCAAGTCAAAGTATTTCTGGGGTCAAAAGTATAGGGTTGCACTTGGAAGAATCATTCTGGACCTTAATTTGACCTTCAAGGTCAAAGGTCAAATCTGAGATTACGATTATGTAGCCACTATTTAAATTTTGGTATGATGGAAATAATGTACACCGAAAACTTAACGCGCCGGCCATGTTATTGTTGTAAATTGGACCTAAAAATAACGTTTTCTTACCGCCGCTTTTGTCTCATCTACAGTTTTTTTCAACACAACTAAGTCTGTTTGAATTTCTTCCTTTTTTTCTTGCAATGCCTCTGTTTCAGTTCTTATGCTAGCTAAAACTCTTGCTTTTTCTTCATCTAGCTTTTCCTTTTTAGCCGTCAGCTCTGCTTCTTTTTTCTCACATTCGGCAATTCCCTGGAGAAAACACAGTTCAATGGTAATATAAGATCTTTATTTTTCAATCTTGTACATTACATCAAAAAAACTGTCCAACTATCAACAGTTTGGTAATCCTTGACTCCAATGACATTTGCAGTTTTCGATAAAACTTGAGTATCAGTTAAACATTGCTGTATTTCTCACCATTTCTGTTTCCTCTGGAGTTCTTTCTAGTTTATCCAATTTCTTTTTCTCCTGAGCTAGCAGCTCTTTAGTTTTCTTACGCCTTGTATTCATCTGTACCATGTTTTCTTGTAGCTGAATGTCTTTTTTGTTTGCATTATTGAATGCTTCATTAAGTTCTTCTTTCCTTTTTTGAAGAGCTTCATATCGCCTGTAATAACACCAGGAAAGCAAAATTCAGAAAGTAGCACTCTTGTCAAAAATCTAAACTTACGCTGATTCTACATGTAAGTCCTTCGCTTTCTCCTTCCTTTTGTGCTCTATGTCTGCTAAGGTGTCCAGGAATTTTTTCTGAACTTCAGCAATCTCGCTTTTGTCCTCATTGATCTTTGTTAGCTTTTTATTCAAAACATAACTGAAAATGTATACTAGAATTTTTACTGCACAGCACATGGGATATAGGATAAAAACTCCCAGCACACAAAAATATTTGATTGCCGTTATACAAAGGGCACTATAAAAGTTTTGCAATATGACTTAACAAAAGACGCAGGAGGCTGCATGTAGCCGCCAGAAGCACGTCTGTTGATTTAGTTATTTATTCGTATTGACAGTAGCATCGTGGTCACGTAGTGAGGTAGGGGCAGTTTTACCGTATAACTTTACGCGTGGTTTATGCATAGACCAGTGTTTAAAAGAAATGACGCCTGCATTAAAGACTGATTGTCCTCATCGTACGACTATATTCAGGTGGTACAGAGAATTCCAAAGGGGCAACTTCACTCTGGACGACGCTGAGAGGGAAGGAAGGCCGCGAAAGTCAGTAACAGAGGAAAACATTACTGCAGTGAGGAAAATGCTTGACAAGATAGTGACATACCAACAGATAGAGGAGACCCTACACCTTCATGCACCAGCAATTCATTCAATTCTGCAAGACAATTTATATGTAAGGAAACTTTGTTCTCGCTGGGTACCGCATAGCCTGACGGAAGAGCAGAAGACTCGTCGTACGATTAGGTGCCAAAAAATGCTGAAAATGTTTGATAAGGGGCAGATAAGTGGTACACAGGACACAGTGCCTGCTTAAAATCATAGACACTATGAAAAACCTGCTGCCAAAGTCAAGAATGGACACTTGGTTCCTCCACGTTGACAATGTTCCAGCTCGCAGAGTATTTGACACCCTCCTTACAGGCCAGATCTTGCTCGTTGTGACTTTGAACTGTTTCCGCATGTGCAAATGAAGCTAAAAGGAAAATGATTTTCTAGCAATGAGGACCTTCTGAGAGCTTGAGACGAGTGTGCCACACTCCCGGGTGAAACTTTTATAGTACCCCTTGTATGAAGTGTAAAAGAAAGGTTGAAATGCAACAACTACTTACATTTCCTTTTGGTAAAGGAAATTCTTGCTGCTCACAACAGTATTTTCTACTTTCAAAAACCCTACTGCTTCTTCCATAGGACCTTTAAGTTCTTGTACTTCTTTTTCCACCATTTGGAGCCTGTTCAGTTTTTCAATTCTCCTCTCTGACAGGATGTCCACTCTTTCATGAACTTGGGCAAGTGGTTTCTGAAAGAAAGTTGTTGTGCATTAAATTATATTTTGTAAGATCACAGTAAACTAAAAACAAGTGTTGGAGCTGGACAGAATGTTCAAATATTGGGAGATAAATTTGAACTAATACAATATTTTTTTATTTATCCTTTTATACCTGAAATTGGATTGTGCAAATGTACAGGGGGGTATTCTAGGAATATAGGAATACCTCTGACAAGGAGTATAAACCTTATAAACTACAAACTCCAAGGATGAAAAGGAATAATTCTAACTCCACTAGACTACATACCTTATAACGAGTTGTGCCAATGATGTCTTCCAAATATTCTAACATACCAGACTCATTCTCATTTTCAGCTTTACATTTCATCATAGCAATCTGTTCTACCTCACCCTTAAATAATAATGAAATTATTATTCTGATTTATTCTAGACAACATATCAGTTGTATTTGACTGATTATATGATAAATGTACCTGCAAAATCAGGAACCGGTTGTGATCCAAGTCAATGCCATGTTGTTTCAAGAGCACCGCAACCTCTTTAAACTGAACTTTTCTACCATTTAACTGATAAAAGGATGAATTATCTTTATTTGCTGTTCTAGAAACAACAAATTCACTACCTGGCACAGTATCATATGCATCACCGTCCTAAAAATAAATTATAGATAGAAAAAAAAGCAAAGGAAAAAAGTCAATAAAGACAAAATAAAAATATAACTTTTACCTTATCTATAATTAGTGCAAAATGCACAGCGACAGTACAGGACTGGATATTTCTATAGTTTGCAGAGTTGTGTAGTAGAACAGATACCTTTTTTGATCTAATTTTTGTAGCACGATATCCAAAAACAAATAGTAAAGAGTCGATGACATTGCTTTTACCACTTCCATTAGGGCCTACTATGGCATTGAAACACTAAAAGAGAGAGAGAGAGCAGGTTAAAAAATAAAATCCTACAAAACAATATAAGACTCCAATGCAAAAATCTGTTATGTTTGTTGAAGTTAATTGTGATTCTATATTATCTTGTACTTTTATTTCTGTAAGATAACAGCTTTGTTCTTCCACTGGATAATGCAAAATTTCCCTTAATGCATAAACAGGTGAATTCACCAATTTAATATAATAATTCTTACATTGGAGTCACATTCACTAAACAATAGTAAGCTGTAAATACATAGGATGTTTTTTTTAAAGATCATAGATATTTTAAGGTTTCATATATTGCTTTAGCAGTAATTCGAGTATTATATAAGTATCAGAAAGAGATGGTTGCTCTTGATGACACTGAGGTTGGGGGGATCTGGATGGTGGTTACATGATGGGGCTTCTAAATGGAATACATTTTTATTGCTATATATGTTTAATATTTCCAAGCTACTTTCATATATTGCTGTTAGATTCTTAGTTATCGGAATCCTACTTGCATGCAACATAAGCTGCTGTGACATACAACTTTGTCAGCCATGGTGTGCCTGATTTTGTAGCCCTTCTGATAAGAAATTCTGACAAGGTAGGTGACTACACATTGCAGACCGTATTGTCAAGATACATTTAAGATATATATCAGGGTCATAAATAATGCTCATTTAGATGATCCATAAGCAATATTTATTACCTATCCCTAGTTTTTTGCATAATTTTATAAGTTTTATTTCAAACAAATATGACAACCCTACTTGTCTATGCTTGACAGCAAAAAGCATATTCTGAAATTACTTGAAACTGATAAATTTGCTTATATGACTAGAGTTTTATAGTTAAGATAGAGATAGAGGAATTCCTATGTGTGCTATTTGCTTGTTAATATTTGACCAGTGTATTATAGTTGGATACTAAAACTAAAGACACTAAAGCATGGATTTTCAGTATGTTTGCTAAACATCAATAAAAAATGCCAAATAACCATGTGTTTGCTTCCTCAAATTACAGTGCAATTGTGAGAAGTGAAAAACTGAATACAGGCAACCATTGAACTACTGGATGCAGGTTGTCGATTACATCTGTCAGCCCCAACTACTAAAGTATTTCACCAAAAAGCATATATTTTAATACCCAGATTTTATATTATTATGAATTATAATGTGACAGCCAAAAAAAAAGTTCAGCAAAGAGGGGAAGATGCATTTGATAGAAATGCTAGACAAATTTAAAGGGATCACTGAAAATAAAAACAGCTCCTTAATAACTTTGAAAAGCAAATTACAGAAACTTTCAATGAAAATGATAACCTAAATAATACATAATAACAAGGAAGCAACTCAAAACATTATGGGACAACATCTAACAAAGGTAAAACTAACTATTTTGCAATAGATACGTGAATCCCCATGGTCTCTATGAATTTTCACAAATCTACCCTTTTCAACTGGTAGAGCTCATAGAATGGGCTGCTTTATAAAAAATGATTTATAGTCTATTCTTACTTCCTTGGGTTTACAGGTCTCATAATACATTTTAATTACTTTCTCCCGAGCATTGTTCTAAAGATGTATTGAGGAGCTGTTAGTTTAATTATTTTCAATGATAAATTTAAATTTATCCAATATATCAACCAGAGACATCCCTGCTTCACTAAGCTTCTTTTTATATTTGCTGTCACACATTATGACCTGTACATTTCATTAAAATTTTACAGATTACAAAATTTAGCACAAATAAACCAAAGTGTCCCAATTTGATCATCAAAATGCTAAATAAATACTGCCAACAAAGAAAAATCTTTATTAAAGAGCAAGCTTAACATTCTCAAGAAGTGCTGTAGTAGAGAAATTAAAGCACTGAACATAATTTTTGTTTTACGGTACCTTATGGAAAGGCCCAAGTACTTGACCTTTTGCATAGCTCTTGAAGAAGTTATTGTCTATTTTGGTGATTATGAGACGTGGTCCAGTTGGATCGAATGAGAGTGTTGGTTTTGTTGGAGGAGGTATCCTGATACCATCAACGAATGTTGCATCATCATCGGAGAATGCTAACTCTTCATCAGAATCATCTTCGTTAGTTCTATTTTCCTTTGCAGTCATTTTGGGCCTACAATGAAAAATTCCATATTACTAAGCCAATGGAGTAATATTAGTAAAAGTAATTTAGCATGATATTCTAAAGATTTACAATATAAGTTTCATCATTATAGTAAAATATAGTTTGAGGAAAATCAGATCAACATTTGAATTTGTTGATATTATTATAACCTATAAACCAATGTTCAAATTTCGGCATGTTAGCAAAAATCGGAACATGAATAACTTACTTATATGTTAAGGAACGTTTGAAAATGCTTCGTATCGAAAGAGAACCCCAGAAATTTTTAATATTTCATTATAACTTCTGTCAGCAACACAAAACACACAAAAAACGCCATAAAAATACCCGTTAATTTGAATTTGACAACAATAATCTGCAGTGCTGTCAGTTGACAGTAAAATAGGGGGAAGAAAATAACCCTAGTATGCATAGAACAAATAGCTAAAAAGAGTTGCCATTTTAATAGGATACACGGTAGCAAATAGTAAGCCCGCCATCTTCTAAATTCGCTTGAGAGTACATAGAACTGACCTGCTAGTGAAAAGTATGCATGATAAAGCCGGCGAAGTAGCAATCCGCCATTTTCTAAGTTCGCTTGAGAGTACATAGAACTGATCTGTTAGTGAACAGTATGCTTGATAGAGCCGCACGGGTATTACGTATCTTGAAAAGGGATATTATGCTGATTGTTTTTTGATATTATGTAGGTTTTTCTAAGATGTTAATTTAGCACTAGCGATAGATACGCTGTGAACTCGTTTTTTAGTTGTAGCTGTTGCCTAAACGTCATGAGGCTTCAGTTATCAATGTTTGGCTCTGATGTGATGTCAAATCTGCTTCAGAGATGAAATTACTGGAGGTCTAAGCTCTAAGTTGTTTGCTTGTGTTGATGATAATTCCATTGGATTTTTGTCTCAAATACACTCACTTGAGATTTAAAGCTAGAAAATAGTTGCGCATTCACTTTTTCTCATCTATTCTGGAAATTACATATGCAACTTTGATAAATTTCAAAAATGAGAGAGATACGAAATGTTCACTGTACACTGTCGAATTACAAGTCATATAGATGCTAACAGGAATTATACACAAAGCGGACGCAGTGACGATTTCCCGTAATTCTCCTTAAAGTTTTTCGTAATTTATAACTTTGATCACAACCTGTCTTCAGAGAGCACAACATATAAATAACCCGTCGGGCACAACTAATAGATATACTCCCTTGGCAGCATATTCAGTAATGATTTTCTCACACGGCAAATATCACTGATATTATTCACATGTAGGCCAATACACATAATCTTCCAGATGCGATCTTGCTATTCAACCAACTTTCGTTTCAGAGATAAAATCTACAGACCACTCGGCCTCACAAAACATATGCAACCAACATTGCGTGTTGTTTAGTTGAGTGATTCCTCCATAGATGGACGTTGACAACGATCCTAGTGAGCAAACGTGGAATGACTGTTTGCGCCCTAAAAACTACCTAGTCTGCAAGATGACATCTTATAAGTTTTTTTTGACGTTTTATAGGTTTTTTACCCAATACCCGTGCCGGTGAACTAGCAAAATAGATAAGCAGAAATAAAACATATAGTCAGGAGTTTTTATTTATTAAAATATTCACTACACACTAACAAACTGTACATAATAAAGCTATTTATGATACCTGTGAATTAGTGTTTCAATTAGAAATAGAACTAGGAACTATTTTAGATGTATTTTTGAAATAGGTATATATCAACTTTTATAACAATAACATGCATCTCTGGTATTCTGTGTTATCCAGTAGATATGGTCATTTATAGTTGTAAATAATGCTACACCAGGCTTTGGGCCGCACTCGTTTTTGTCGACAAGAACCCCTGAAATAGAATACCCGTAGTTTTAGCAGCCTAACCAGTATGGAATGTCCCTATCAATAAAAATAGTTACCAATAAGCTCGTAGACGCCGTGATAACTTCTGAACATAACAGGTCCGCCAGAGTCCACCTGAAATGTGACAAAAATGACATCAAGTGACTTGACTCCCTATCCCTTATATTTGCCGAGAACAGAGTGATAAGGATTAATTATTAAATCAGTTTTACCTCACAAATCGGAGTATTTGAGCCAACAACTCCAATGCATCCTTTATCCTGGGTCACGTAAGCCATGTCGGGCGTAGATTCTAGGCATTCTTTCGGTCCCAAAACTGGAAGCCCGAGTTTTCTGGGCCTGCAACTGCTTGTAATTTTTCTTGTTTGACCAGATGTAGGTGGACCTTCTTTTATATTTGTCTCTGCCCATCCAAACACCGTTGCAACTTGACCCTGATATCTTGTATCTTGATAGAAAACAGACAAATATTACAATATCATCATATGTAGCTTATAAGTCATGTGAAACCCAATAAGAAAATATTATTTGCAATGCTGTTGCGAAAACTCCATAGGGATTCTTACGGGTTAAAATGGCGGACTGAATACTTTTCTTTTCTGGTGTTCTAGTTGGCTACTATTACAAGCATTCTAATGCTGGTTGCCTACACGTCGTCTCCAAAGGCTGATATGTACACATGCGCGAAAAGGTTGCGGGAGAAACAGGAAACTGAGTTTTGGAGGGAAAGCAAGGGTGGGAAAAAATTATAGTGCGGGTAATTTTTAAACTATTACGAATTCCGTGAATCTCGAAAAGTGAGAAACTCTCCAGTGTAAGCAAGTTTCCGTGATCGTATTTTTGTAATCCAACTGTGCCATTTGTTCGCCTTGCGAAACAGCTTCAGAATCTTCACATAAATGCTCCGCAAATGATGCAAATTTCTGTTCTCTCAACATCGGTAACAATATTCTATTGTCTTTCCGTGGTTTTTGAATACCACTAGAAAATAATTTAAATTATTTGGTTTTGGAACCTGATGTTTTGGAAGTGATGCTGTTGTATTTTAAAAATATGTAAATTGCGTTTGAGTTATTTGCAAGAAAATATACCAAAACATCCCCAAACTTTGTTTGTTCATATACAGGTGAGTTTTCAATGTGGGCTCAGTCGTTAGCTCCGTAATAGCCCATGGTATCTAATACTTATATACAAACAGTATGCTCCTGACTCGAAAAATATTTTTATCTCTCCAGGATGATTTATAATTACATAGTAGCCCAAATACACTTTTTTGAATGAAATGCTCCTCATTTTTTATTGCCGATTTTCAAATGAAGAAATTTGATATACTTTATTTGAAAATTGTTGCGATATTGAACAATCATCGAAAAAGTCCTCAACATAGACAATTCGCACCTCCGCAATTATAGCTATATATATGTAGAGAACTGAACAAGCGCTGAATTTTTCGTCAGAAAAATTTCATGATCCCATATTTTCTCCCCATTTACTTGGTTTTTCGATTTATAACATTTTATATATGGAAAACTCATACTTATTTCTCAGGGCATTCTATTAAAAAATGTATATTCGGGTCCCCACGTAGTTATGAATCACCCCGCAGAGACAAAAATGTTTTCCAAGGTAGAAGCATACTATTGGCTGCAATTTTTGTAATTAACCTTTTTAGATATCAAGCGCGACATGATGCGCAATACCCGCAGTTATCGGCTGAGCACGCACTAAAAACTCACCCTGTAAATTGTTCGCCTTGTTGATTATTTTTGAAATAAAAATGTCGGAAGTCCCAAATACTGGTTAGGCAACTTCCCCATGAGCGCCCGCCGGAAGTTTTTCCAGAAAGGGCCGATTGAACATCAGCAAGAGGAAAATTTTTATATATTGTGAAGATTTACAAACTTTTCAGAGAGTGATGGGTACATACGAGGGATGTCTTTTAAGTTTTGCATATGGAAATAAAACAACACGGGAGGTAGTTCTAAATGACGTTATTGTTTTTCGAAGATTTCTCTACGAAGATTAATACTCAACTGCATGCGCTCGAACCAATTTTCGAAGCACTTATTCCACTCGTTTGCTGGCAGATCCAAAACGACATTTTTGAATGCGTCAACTGCTTCTTCTGGTGACTGGAACCTTTGAACACGCAGTCTGTTTTTAATTTTCGGGAAAGTAAAGAAATCGTTAGGACTTAGATCGGGACTATATGGAGGATGGTCCAATAATTCCACGTTTTCCTCCGTTAAATACTGCCTTGTTTTTTGGGCTGGGCGCGAGCTTGCATTGCCTTGGTGGAGGATGATTCTTCTTTCGGGGTTGATTTTTCGAAGCTCGGTGATCACTTTTGGCAAACAAATGGTGGTATACCAATCCGCAGTAACAGTTCCTTACTCATTAAGAGGAATTGTTGCAAAATGACCCACTTTTGACACAAATGTGCGACCATTTTTTTCGAAACACTTCGAGAACGGATGACTTTTGTTGGCTTTTCTTCACCTTGGAACACCCAAACAGCCGACTGCCGTTTTCTGGTTCATAACAGTAAATCCACGATTCATCACCACTAACAATGCTGTACACATTTTTTGAGTTTCCGGAATTGAAACGGTCAAGCGTTTTTTGACACCAATTAACCCTGGCTGCTTTCTGCTCTTCAGTCAACAGGTGAGGTATCCCACGAGAAACTAATTTTCTTACTCCTAATTCTTCATGTATTTTTTTTTGAATTGAGGTCTTTGAGATCTTCAAGGACGCCTCAATCTCGCAATATGTCACATGTCTATCTTCAATGATGAGTTTGCGCATAGCATCGACGTTTTCCTGGGCGACTGCCGTTTTTGGTGCACCCACCCTGGGATCGTCGCTAAGACTCACCCGTCCACGTTTGAATTCTCCATACCATCGGGAAATTGTCGACTGATGTGGCGCTTCGTTGCCGAAAACAGACAGTATCTCAGCAAGGCATTCTATATACAGTGAAAGCTCTCCTTGCGGACAGCTCCTATAAACGGACATCTCTTTTAACCGGACAAAGTTCCTGGAACCGAATTTCAGCCATCAATTTTCAATGTTAAATGCATTCCGATAAACGGACGCTCTTATAAACGGACGCGGACACTAGATTTTCCTGTATGTGATCAAAAAATCTCCCATAAGCGGACGCGAAACTCTAATACCCGGACGATTTTTTAGTTCCGCTTATTGCAATGCACATATCTACATACATAAAATTCGGTAATTCCCCGATTTATATTAGGTGATTCCCCATTTACGCATTTCGTTGGGTAGCCTGTATGTAATCTTGTGGCTTGTCTTCAGTTCAGGCAAATTCGTAGTTGATTGAGTTACGTATTTTATTATTGTAACTGTAAAATGGCACCAAAAAAAAGGATGCTCTCGTTAAAGGAAAAGATGGAAGTTGTTAACGTATTAGACAGAGAAAGTGTTTCAGTTCGTCATTTGGCAAAGAGGTT